AAACAAGTGATTTATTCGATTCATTCGTCGATAAACGTTTAATCTTTATTAGAGCAATACTCGTGCAAAAGGTTGAGAGTATTCTTAAGCCTATCGTAAGGAAGCGGTGTATTCTATTAACCATATTGTAAGTAATCAGTGTATTCTGTTAACCCTAATGTGAGGAATCAATGTATTTTGTCAACCCTATTGTGAGCGAGTGCGAAGTGACCTAGGGTTCTCGTGAGCTTAAACACTGTCTATGTCAGCTCTCACTGTAATCTCTTGCGTTTATAGAATGTCACCTTATAGCGTTTTTAACGCCGAGCTGTTCTTCTTTTACTGTGAGTGAGTTTAAGGCGTGAGATCAAGCAGCTGCTAAAGCAACATAGCATTAACTAAATCGATGTGTCTAAGAACCAGTGCAGGCATGGTTTTACTACAAACCTTACAATTTCCTTAAATTTAGGTGCCGAATAATACCGTTAAAAATATGCATCTTTTTCATTTCTTACATATCATAATCTTCTATCATTCTAATGCCGTAATACTAGCATATGTTTATGAATGTAAACATGTTTCAACCAGACGCTCGTGTCAGTTTATTCATAGTCGAACGTCACGGGCGTGAAGTTGATCAGCTTATACGTAGCAACGATAGATATCGCTATGCAACCTACTGTGGCGTGAGACCGTCTGCATCTGTGCCAATTTTTTAAATAATGTGGTGACGTTATGATATCTATCGTTCATCTGGTGTTAAATTCGAGCGCTTAATATTTAATCTCATATTCAACATTGATATTCTTATCATTTACTCCATCCTTAACGCTATTCAGCCTATTGTGGCGTGAGACCGTCTGCATCTGTGACGGCGCATGAAGGCACAAATGTAACAAACAAGCTCAAGGTTCATATTTTAACTTGGTCACTTTTCAAATGCCCCAGCGAGTGAAAGAATGTGGGTTTAAATTGTTTGAGCTTGTAAATTACGTTATAGGTCGCAGTTGGATCTACAGGTGATTCGTTGTTTAGGAGATTATGCATTAGTCTATAAATTATGATATTAGACCGTTGATGTGTGACTTACCAAATTTTAGTTAATCATAAACATCGCGTGCATATCTTACAGTCGTGCGGTTGATGGACTTCACACCTGCTTGGCGAAACCTTAAACAATACAACAGTATGACGTTTTGACGTTATGAAAATTTAAACATCTGCGAAACCATATCTGCCCGCATGTGTGAGCGTGCCTGTGGGGAACGCAGTAACTGGACTATCACGGTGAAAATGCACGTTTTTAAAAGTGTGTAGATTTATAATGCTGTCGCTTTTACACTAAGAACGCACATGTGCTTTATTGCAATTAAAATATACTAGACGTGATGCCGCCATAATGCCGAGGCGCGCCGAGGATTGACACTTTGTGTCTTCCAATCACAGCCTATGCCGCACCCGTACGTGGTTTATAATTTTAAAGGTATTACCCATTACATCACCAAATCGCCGATCTCAGGAACTAGGGCATTCTGCTAGGCTAGAACGGTTTCCTATGATAGAGTTTGGCACACATACGAAGATAACACGCTGTTTAGCGCACTGCGCTACGTCCTTCTGTTAGATTTTCGGCCATCCTCCGTAGATCAGCAAAAGCGCCCGCCTTTTCTGATCGGCATAAATGGGGCTCAGACCGACTTGACCCAGTGTCTAATAGCCCGACCTGTCGTTTCGCGCTAAGCCTGCTACTGTTTGTCAAATAATAGAAATGCCCGCCGATGCAAACTTTGGACCAGCAAAGATAAAAATTTTCTGCCATTTAAGGCTCGCTGTCGACATGAACGATGCGTCATATCTGAAACATTTCATAAAAAAAACACGGCACGGATTCTTCCTTCAATCGCTGCGTACCACATAGTTCTCACGCCGAGTGTATATCCACACCGTTCTCGTCTCCCGCCGTATCGCGCTGTTCCTCCGTCTGCCGCTCTCCGCATTCTTCCATCTCTATCGATCGGCTCTCGTCGTTCTTCGTTTCTCCTACTGTTGCTCCTGTTCCCAGGCTTTCCTCCTCTTCTCCCTTACCATCTGGCCTACGTCCTTTCCCCTCCATGCCGCGTCTCCGTCTCTCATCTCGCAGTTTTCTTGGGGCCAGCGGTGACGCCCCAGCGACTCTCGCTGTGCTTCTTCCTGTCTCCATCTTGACGCTTGGCGTAGTATGCACGTAATAGCGAGCATAACGGATCGCACTACGCGGTTGACGTGCCGTCCCGCAAAGCGAATACGCAGGTTTCGACTGCACGCACCAAAGTGGTAATGTTTAAATGAGAAGTTCAAGGTAGAAATGATTAAAGGAGATCCAAGAACTTATGGTATCTAAACGGAGATAACCGTGTATAACCTGCAGCACAATCCGAACAACCGCAACCCGCGGCCACACCACCAGCATAGAGCCGGGTCGGCGCCTTTCTCGAAGCCGCGAGCCACCGCAACCAGACCTCCGACCCCACATTCTCTCTCCTCTCTCAAAAACCCCGCGCGATAATCCACATGGCTCTACGCACCCGCCTCTGCAGTCGATCACCCATTTCACCAGTCACCCTACGGAATCGTCCCGACCTAAAAACCGTTACCAATGCAATTCGCCTCCCCTGAAACACTTAATCGTACGCCGCGAACACAGAGTGCGCGACGCGCTCCGTGTGGACTAGATAGGACTTTCACAAAAACACACTCCTAGGTTCTAGCCCAGCTGACTACTCAGTTCGTAGAACATCTGAACATCACCAGGTTCACAGCAGCAATCCAATTCCCACTTACACTTTACGTCACCCAGCCAGTAGCAGAACGCATAGCATATATAAGATGCGAAGTTAGGCAGCGTCAATTCGCACTTACCTCTACGTCCACCCCCAATCGTGATAGGTACATAGATCTAATAGGAGGAATTAAGTTAGGCAGCGCCATTCTCACTTACACTTACGTCCAGCCCAGCAGTATATGAAACATACGACTTATACGCCGCAGACATGTAAGTTATGCCTAGGCGCAATTTCTGCACTTACATTCACTGTCTCGCGGACGGCACGCCATATAGGAACTATAGATAGAATACGAGATTGTAAGCTGTATGGCACGCATCAAGACTCCTCACAACTTACATTCTACGTCACCCGCGCCAGGCCAGTAGTATGTCTAGCCATAGGATAACTCAGAGACCTTGTAACGTTATGCAGGACAACTTCCGGCCATCTTACACTTACACGTCGCAGACCAGCCCAGCTAAGACGATACATCGACTAGAGGAAGAAGATGGAGAGAGAGTAACCTCAGGACGTACAACTTCTCACTTACTGACTTACGTCCACCAGGACCAGTATGAGATACATCAGAATATATAGAGGCGAATGTAAGGGTCTCATCAAAGCGTCATTCCACTTGCACGCGACGCCCCACGCCCACCCACCCACCTACGCCCACCCCCCAGCACAGTAATAGGATACATAGAGTATATAGAGGAAGGTTAAGTTTACAGGGCGTCAAATTTAACTTACACTTTCGACAACCCCAGCTATATACGAAGCATGAGATATATAGAAGATGTAAGGTGAGCGCTGCAGTTTCAATGTCTCGACTAGCACTTAGTCAACACCCGCCAGAAAGCTACATAAATCATCCAGAGCTGTAAAGTTATGCAGGCGTCCAATTCGCACTGTACACGGTACGTCACCCAGCAGTATCCGGATACCAATAGATAACGAGAGATGTAAGTACGGCACGTCATTCTCAGCTTACCCTAACGCCACCGCCAGCCAGTATAGATAACATAGATATATACGGACGATAAGTTGAGACAGCGCTGCAATTCTAAACTAGCACCTTTCGCCAACCCGCCAGGCAGCATGATACATAGATACATAAGACGATGGTAAGTTAGGCAGTGCTTCCAATTCGTCCCGACTTAGACTGTAAGTCAAGCCCATGCACGTATAAAATAAGGATATATAGAGACTGTAATTATGCAGCATGCAAGTCATTACCATTTATCGTTCAGGCCGGCCAGCCATATACGATAACATGTAGACTATTAGTGAGATGGTAAGTTACTGGCAGCGTCAATCTCCACTTACACTGACGTCCACACACGTGCCAGGTATAGGAACACTAAGCATATACGAGATGGTAAGTTATGCAGCGTCAATTCTCACTTACACTTACGTCCACCCAGCCAGTATAGATACATAGATATATAGAGATGTAAGTTATGCAGCGTCAATTCTCACTTACACTTACGTCCACCCAGCCAGTATAGATACATAGATATATAGAGATGTAAGTTATGCAGCGTCAATTCTCACTTACACTTACGTCCACCCAGCCAGTATAGATACATAGATATATAGAGATGTAAGTTATGCAGCGTCAATTCTCACTTACACTTACGTCCACCCAGCCAGTATAGATACATAGATATATAGAGATGTAAGTTATGCAGCGTCAATTCTCACCTACACTAACGTCCACCCTGGCAGAGGGAGACTATTTATATGCTTGTGGAGCGCGACAGGTCCGACTCGCTGGGCAGTATTACACATCGCAACATGACGCAGCATCTTTACTAATTACCGGCTTTCCAGCAGTCCTTGACAAGATTTTAGGGCTAATTTTAGGGATAAAATTCAGGTTTTTTTAAGGCTATTTTAGGAATTTTTAGGGATGAATCGAAACATTTTAGGGATAAAATAAGTCACTTACCTTTCATAAACATCAACGTGTTAACTTACAGATACAGTTCTATATGGTATGTGTCCAGTCTACCAGCTATTTCTATCCTCCAATCCTCGACACGACTGTACATCTTCAAGTTTCATGCAAATTAGGCATGTCATGTACATCCAGCCAGGAACAGGTTCGTATAATCAGACACTGAAGCTTAGGAATCACTGGTAGACTAGCTGAGTCACAATACTCACTCTGTATAAAGATAACTAGAAAACATCCATTACGATTAAATTACAAACCAAAAGTTCATCATCTCATCACCAAAAACTCCAAACATATCTGTGGAATTTTTTTTTTTGAATTTTAATAAAATTTTAGCCCTTTTTTAGGAATTTCATACATTTTTAAAGTTTTTCTTAGGAAGTTTAGGACGAGCTCAAAATTTTAGGAATTTTTAGGAATTTTAGGGCCGCTGGAAAGCCTGTAATTATAGCCTTATCGGGTTCCAATAGTCATTGAGTATTTACTGATGATAACGGAGATACGAAATGTCTGTTAACGCTATCGTAAGGAAGCGGTGTATTCTATTAACCATATTGTAAGTAATCAGTGTATTCTGTTAACCCTAATGTGAAGAATCAATGTATTTTGTCAACCCTATTTTGAGCGAGTGGGAAGTGACCTAGGGTTCTCGTGAGCTTAAACACTGTCTATGTCAGCTCTCACTGTAATCTCTTGCGTTTATAATAATGTCACCTTATAGCGTTTTTAACGCCGAGCTGTTCTTCTTTTACTGTGAGTGAGTTTAAGGCGTGATATCAAGCAGCTGCTAAAGCAACATAGCATGAACTAAATCGATGTGTCTAAGAACCAGTGCAGGCATGGTTTCATACAAACCTTACAATTGCCTTAAATTTAGGTGCCGAATAATACCGTTAAAAATATGCATCTCTATCATTTCTTACATATCATAATCTTCTATCATTCTATTGCCGTATCACTAGCATATGTTTATGAATGTAAACATGTTTCAACCAGACGCTCGTGTCAGTTTATTCATAGTCGAACGTCACGGGCGGGAAGTTGATCAGCTGATACGTAGCAACGATAGATATCGCTATGCAGCCTACTGTGGCGTGAGACCGTCTGCATCTGTGCCAAATTTTTAAATAATGTGGGGACGTTATGATATTGTAGCAACGCTGAGGTCAGTAACCGCAGTTAGCATCAGTCTACACAAGCTAATTTTACACCATACCGAGGGGCTAGAAGCACCGATCTATCTTGGACCACTGGACACATACACTGCTACAAATAGCCACCCGGTGTGCGGTTAGTTACATGCAGATTTAGTTCACGAGCCATCCACCTCACACGTAACTGTATTTTCGTGGGGTCACGAATTATGTCAAGAGGGAAGGAAGGAATGTTGTATGGTACATTGTGCGTTGTAATTAACCATGAGCGCTTCTAGCCGGGCGAGGCAGTGGAACTAATTGGCCTGTGTTCTGGCTTGGTAGTTCGTTGTTGTTTTGATAATGACGCGGGATGTACGGCACTAGATATATATGCGTAGCCTCACGCGTTTCCTAGCCCCGCAAGGTCCGGCCGATAATGACGAAGAACCGGTCGGATTCAAATGTCGCCGACAGATTTTGGGAATCATATAAATAGACACGCTCGGATAGAGAGTCACGGAGAAACCTACCCAGGAGACGTACGTGTGTACGGACCTTCTTAAAAAGTTATGTAGCGGACGAAGTCGAGACACGGGGCCTAGGCTTGGGGTGCCTAGGTCGCCGTAGTGTGTATATATATTTGTATCGTGTTTTCTAATAAATCAGTCTTCAATAACAATCTGCTACGATGGATCATCTCTACTCCTTGCTGCAATCATCTACGTATTACGTATCACGCTACGATGCTACGATGCCGGAGCGGAAACTACAACTCTTTTCACAGTACAATATTAGTTTTAATGTTAATTTTTTCTCGTATAACGGATCTTTATGCCTGGCTTAAGTGCAACTCGTAACTTTATTATGTATCTGTCAAAGGTCTAATGGAAAACGTAATATTTAAACTAATATTAAAGATTAGTTTTGTTTTTGCGAACGAGTCCCGATCTTTATCAACGTCTGTGTGTGTATGTGTTTGTGTGTGTGTATGTGTGTGTGTGTGTGTATGTGTGTGTGTGTGTGTATGTGTGTGTGTGTCTGTGTGTCTGTTGTCTGTGTTAAAGTGTGTGTGAGATATCTGTGTCAAAGACAACCTCACTATCTGTATAGGGTCTTTTCTATTATTTCGAACATCTGCAAGGACTCGCCATCTATCAGTATATAACAGTCATTTAAAGTAAACAAAGATGATGACTCTTACGTTCGCATCGTTGGTTGTTATCGTCAGACCAAACTCCCACCAAAACTTCCAGCACCACATTATTACTCGAGGTAAGGCTGGGTAGCTCGCAAGTCAATGTTACGTTTCCAATCAAGTAGTATCCATCGTCACACCAGAACGTTGATCACCGTGTCATTGTAGTTGAAGCTCATGCCAACGTGACCACTGACTGGTGGTATTAGCTCCGGACACACCAGAACTTTATACATAGGAGGTGGAAAATATAATGAAATTAAAATTTAAACAATTAAGTAAAAATTATAGAGCAAAGTACTTGGTAACTAAATAACGCACTGGCTCAACAATGACTGAACTATCGTCCGCCTGAGGTTACTCACAGTCTATAATGCATGCATGTCTGCATCTATTAAATCTACTTCTCAATGTGCGCGCGTGCCTACAGGTGCGTGGGTGCGCGTGCGGTTCCCCGTGCATGTGTATGGAGCGGTGCGTGCTTGCGTGTGTGCGTGTAAAGCGGTACGTGCGTGCGGTCTTGGGTGCGCGCGTGTGTGTGTTGCCCGTAAAGGGTGCGTGCGTGAGCGCGCCTATATGTGTTTTATGTTTCGTCTGAACAGTCTGAAGAGTGCAAGGGTAAAAAACGTCGTGTGAGCAAAATCAATAGTCTCGCTGAAGGTAGCGTTAGATTGATTGTAAGGGAGGGGTTATTAAACGATCAGTTAGTAATTAAACTACTAATCCATTACATGATCTTCATATTTAACATGAATGGAAAAAGAATGGTTTGAAAAATTGGGAATTCGAGATAACTGAATTTACATTTTTAAATAAGTAGTGAATTTTTTACATTATCTACTACAAGCGTCAGATACGTATAAGTCTATTGTATATTGTAATATTGTAATGACGTAGATATCGAATTATTTAACCTAGTATAAAACCTAGCGACACGGGTCATTTAACGTAAGCAGATAACGTCATAGCTTATTTTAGTCTAATAGCTCAAGGTAACAACAAGTGAAAGTTGCACCACGAATATCCAAAGAAACTGAGTAACTGGAATACGAGTAAAAGTTATCACCCACGACGGCAGAGTGACAATTTAGCACTTACACAAGGCCGAGAGAAATATGAGTGCGACACAGCTAGACCTCTACACCGGTGTCGCACAGTTTTTTTTATAGCCCAACCAGGGTTATAACTATTGTGAGTTTATGACTACCATCAAGCCGAACCACGTCGCACCAGGAGAAGAAGTTAAAGTGTGACACAATGACATTTTGGCGGTTATCACCTAAACAAGGCTGAGAGAAGCACGCCACGGTTTGATGGTACGTGCCGAAACATTGAACAACAAACAATAAAACGCTGCCGGCCAATGTGAATTATGAGAAACATTTGAGAACATGAATCGAACTGCCGCAATCCCACACCACACCCAAGCACTTCGAGAAGCTTCTACCGATGTCTCCACGCCAGATGCAAGAATTTCTAGAATGTTCTGCTGCCGTTCTCACGCCGGAGCGAGAAGCTTCTAACCTTCATTTATCCATGAAAAGCTGGAGAGGACGACAGTATTGCACCATCGCACGCAACTAGGCATTGACCACACTTGGGCCATGCATTCCTCCAGATGCATAAATACCGAACACTTTGGACAGAGAGACTGACACAGTTCCACGGTGCTGCATGACCGATCGCGACGCTGTTAAACGACCAGTACTGCTCTCACCTGCTGCTCTCGCTGCTCGTCACCGTCGCCGCCGGACATCTCTGACTGCCTGCTGCTCTTAGGTCGTAAGATATGAATTATTTATTTGTAACGCGTATTTGATTATTGGCCTGCGTGCCACCTATGATTGTATGTGATTATCACGCTGATGTTGATTATTAAAGGATAGAGTAACGGTAATGATTCTGTGGTTATATCATTATACTGCCTACAGCTTTAGTGCAATTGCACACGTGTCTACTGTTCGCGAACCTGGTCACACTATACGATCACACGTGCCTGTTATACGATCACACACGAGCTCTGTCATAATAAAAATAAAAATTAATAATAACACCATTAAAGCTTTGCGGTGCGAGAATTCAAGATATGATGACGTGAGTATATATCATAACATTTGTATCACATGGAGTTACTGAGTCACGTTCAAGAAACAAACAATATATTAGCTGTATATTGTCTTGGTTACAATGTCATAGTTTAATCCGATCGCATCTGCAAAGACAACACACTCTAGATAATTATAATGAAAATGCTTTTCATGCGCGCGCGGATGTACTGTGCATGCACAGTTCCACACCTTCGCTTGACCAAACTCCACGACAGATGGCGCTCTCGCACTGGCTCAAATAAAATCTGTGAATTTAGCCAAAGCGAGAGCGCCATGGAATGTAAGCTCCACCACGCACGCACGCACACACGCACGCTGAACTGTCGGAAATGAGCATACACTACGCGCGTGTTCCAACTCGTTATAAATAAACTTAGTGCTATTGTCATCTATATCTATATGTCCATATTTCTATATATGCAGCTGTCAGCGCTACGTGAAAACTCGGTTGCTTTCGGGAATTAAATGTCATCAAACATACTGGCTCCGGCTGCAGCTGTGCGCGGCTGGGCGACCGCGGCGATATCTGTTTAAAAGCGCGCATGACATGCTTGTTTGCTCCATGTTTCTGTCAACACGCACTAGAATTACTTCCATTCCTTTCTGGTTAATAGTTAAATAGAAAGCTTTTCTACTGTTTTCGGCAGCCATTGCTCTGTCACTTTGATCAACGTTACTGGTCTCGCTGCTGCATTTCATTCTGTCGGTCTAAATGAAGAATTAATATACGCATATATTATGAGGTTATGACATGCCGCCGATCTACGGTAAACACAACGTTAAAGCTCGAACAATTCTAGTTTAAAAAAATCATGTACTACTCTGCTCTCTATACATACATTGTCATCGTTTGGGACGAAGAGGCGGCGACAGCAAATAAATGCGCATGCGCTGAACGGACGACATCGCTAACATTTACCGATGTTTACTCAGTTACGTCAGCTGTGTTTACGGAAATCCTGCGTGAATGCGGAGCGGATAGATCGCAGCGTGACTGTTCACGCGACGGTACATTCATGCACCCCACTCTACCTATCGGCTATAGACGATGTCCCGTACGCTGTATGCAAGTAGGGGTGTTTTTCTCTCAGCCAACAGTACTAAAAGCGTGGGTGGGAGGTAGGCTACTGTCCATATATAGTTGTCTATTTAAAATGTCAATTACGGTTTATAAACAAGCGTCTATTCTGTATAGGCGACCGATAACACGCGTTTCACGACATCTGTTCACGCGTTGCCGTAGTTTCAGAGTACGCTTACTCGCAGCACTCACAGAGGCGAAGCTAGAGGTACGTATGACTACCTGCGCATAGCAGGTTGAAAACAACATGTCCACCTGCACAAAGCGTATGAGACACTGTGTGGCTACCTGCACATAGCAGGTTGGAAACAACATGGCTACCTGGACAAAGCGGGCGCGAAGAAGCATATCTGCCTGCTCACGTCAGACAACGCTGCACTGCGTTCACTGGGCGTTCGACAGCCGCATTCCGCTGCTCCTCAGACTCGGCTGGATCATCGCCATCCTCTCCGCCTGGTCCTACATGTTCTACCTCACCTACAAACGCGTCACGTACCTATCCAGCCAGCCGATGAAAACGATCATTGATGAGCAGTTCTCGGCACGCGGACTCGAGTTTCCCGGAGTAACTATTTGTAACAACAACCTAGTCAAGCGGTCCGCGGCCCGCCAGCTGAAGGAATACGCAGAGCTGGAGCGCTTCCTTAGTGACTACGCCGACTTCACGTGGCGGTACGGTGCGCGGGCCGCCGTTAACTTCTCCACGTCCGGGTACAAGCTGGCTCACGTGACGCCTAATGACCTGTATAGACTCGGCCGCCGCGACAGCGCCGCGGCGATCCTGCGATGTTCATACGGCGGAGAGAATTACCGCAACCATCTGCAGCTCATGACGCGCAGCCACGGCAACTGCTTCACGTTTAACTCACAGGTAACCGGTAGCCGCGCGTTACACGTTTAACTCACAGGTAACCGGTAGCCGCGCGCTACATTTTTAACTCACAGGTAACCGGTAGCCGCAAGCTACATTTTTAACTCCCAGGTAACCGGTAGCCGTGCGTTACACATTTAACTCACAGGTAACCGGTAGCTGCGCGCTACATTTTTAACTCACAGGTAACCGGTAGTCGCGCGTTACACCTTTAACTCACAAGTAAGTATGAAAAGCCAATCGTCGAGTGTGATATTTTAACCCACAGGTAGGTATGAAATCCCAATAGTCGCGTGTGATATTTTTACCTACAGGTAAGTATGAAAAGCCAATCGTCAAGTTTTATATTTTTACCCACAGGTAAGTATGAAAACCGAATTGCCGCGTGCTACACCTTTAAGCCACCGGTAAGTATGCCCACAAGTGTTACACATTATTACGTCGTCATATGACGTCGCGTAGACGAGAAGGACTTGCGTGAATGGGCGAAAACAGACCCGCGCACACTACCCTAAAGTTGTCAAACACGGTTCGGGTGATGCTGCTTTTTCCACCTGTGTATACGTGTACGCTCAGGTGGCGTCTATTCTTTCCGTACCGTTAACGCGTCAGCGCTCGGGGAGCGTATTGGGAATGCTTGCGTCACAGCTCAACAGTCCCCTTAAAC